AGCTGTAATAACACGCACCTCCTCCTCCTCATGTCCAGTGTGAGCAACAGCATCATCTGTGTTTGGAGCAAGGGCGCTGCAGTTTGACGGGAGCTGGAGCCACCTTTTGAGGAAGCCTCTTTCAGGGTTTGGCCACCCTCTCGGTAAAGAAACGCTTCCTCGTGTCCAGTTCATTCTCGGGAGCAGCACGCAGAGCCTGCTGAAAGCTCAGAGCATCCTCTGGGGACACACACACCATGGCAGAAGCCGTGGCACGACTGAGCCCGGTCAGAGAAAGGTCCATGGTCAGATGCTTCAGCCAAGCTCTGAAAAAACAAATTAAAATGGAGCTGCCTGCACCGGAGACATCCTGGGCTTCCAACCCAGAGGTGTCATCTTGGTGGGCGGCTTCACCTTCTCCCAGCCGTCCAGGGGGTGACACAGGAGCAGCTTGGGATGCTGCCACCGGGCCTATCCCAGAAGAAAATGCCCTCCCATTGCCCTTGCTTTTCTTGATGACTCCTGGGCCCCCATCATACACTGTCTTCACTGTCTTCTCCCAGAAACAATCTGTGCCAACACCAGCCCAGCTTCAGCCCACCTGTTCCTCCAGATGCTCTGGAAGACTGTCGACAGCCAGTTCTTCCAGTCAGTCTGGGGGGGCGATGATGGAAACTGCATCGTGATCATCAAAAAAATCTTCAGAAGAGAAGTGGTGGGGAGGATGGGACACCAGAAGATCTTTGAAACCGAGTCCTTGAGAGGCTTCATTCTCCAACTCATCCTCCATGGATTCTGCAAAATGGAGAGGGATTCCTTCATTTCTATCTCCATCGAGGAGCTGCAGGCAGTAGCAGCAGCAGGGCCTGCTCTGGGCAAAGAGCGTCAGGATCTCTGCACAGGGAGCGAGCACTCAGGACATCTGGGGAGGGGGAGCAGTTCATGTTCAGGTAAAATAAACATTTACAAGGTAGGGAGCAAGGATGGGCCTGGGAGAAAATTACCTGATTGTGGCTCATGGGTCGTTTTCAGGAATTCTCAGTGCAGGATTGCAGAAGAGCAGAAATGCTGACAAAATGGGATTTTGGTTATTTCTGCTTGCTTTAAGCCATAAAGTGCAGAGATCATCCCATTGATTGTGCTTGCTCTGTATCTGGCTTTACCAAACATTTAAATCTTCTTGTGGCATCAGCTTAATGCTGACAAGATACATGGCAGAGTCACATTATTCCCAGTGTGCAGAGTGAGGAGCCTGAAAACTAGCGGTGTTTGGGTCTTAACAGATGGCTCCTCCTACTATGAAGAAGGTCGGAGATGCCCCTGCAAACAGCCCCTGCACCCCAGCCAGGGGATTCTCTTCTCCCTCGTAAATATTTTCGAGCTGCCTTGACCTGTCTCTACAGTCTCACAGTCACTGTCTCGACACCCGGGGCAGGGGGGGTGATGTGCGTTTGGGGACGAAGGCTTTGGCTCCAGCCCTTGTTTAGAGGAATTAAATCCTGATGATTAAATTCCACGTCAAAATGAGTAAACACATTGGGATGTTTTAGCGCTAAATCTCAGTGATGTTTTGTTAGACACTGAAAAGATAATCCAAAAAGTACTCATTTGGTAATATTCTAGAAATTATTTTATGTGCCTGCCTTTTAATGTTTTCTGACATGTAGTTATTAAGTGATTTATCCATGCATTTATAAATTTCTCTTTTGCTTGGAATACAGCAGAGCTAGGTCTTTGGTATTTAGATCCTCATAATTATCCTTGGGATTTTTCTTTGGATGAAGATTTTGGCATGGATGACACTTTGTGAAACAGTCCTGTGTCTGGATCTCATTCATCACAGATCTTGAAAAGAAATGTCTCTTGCCTTTCAGATACGGCCGTGGAATTTTTCAGAGGATGAATTTGAACTATAGAGCGTATGTGCATTTCAATACAGGTTCCTTTAAATACGTAGAGCTTAGGTAAGTGTCAGATTTTTATGCGTTTTGTTAATGGTAATTGTAAATTTTAAATGTATTACAAGCAGTCAAATATGCACCCTTATATTAAGCTGGGTTTAAGATTGACAGCACTTGCCAAATAGATTTATTTCCTTGAATTTATTATGTTCTGATCAGGCCTCATGAGCGGAAACTGAAGTTATTCCTGTATGTTCTTTTTTTTTTTTTTTTTTGGTCAGCTTACAGTGCCTGGGTGTATTCAGGAGCTGCCCTGCAGAGAGCACTGAGCAGACCCCATCTGGATCTGGGGTCCGGGCACTGGGCCGAGGTGTTGGGCAAAGGTAAAGGACAAAGACAGTCTGTGCCAGCTCCCAAATTACTGCAGTGCAGCAAAAAAAGAAAAGTATGGGCAGGGAAGAGCGGAAAGGTGTCCGGGACTACACAATGTAATAGATGTTCTCTGTCTCTGATCTTGATGCCTCTAGTTCTGAAAAGGTGTTCACGAGCTGTTTGAGTCCTGCTGCACTTCAGCAGAAGTACTTGCATCGTGTAAAGGTGAGCACATACATGTATCATGTCATGTTCCAGGGCTTGTGACTTTTAACTGGAGAGTGGTTCGGAGGCCAGTACTTGCACTAGATGGGTTGCTGGAATATAAAGTAGGGTACTGGGTTGTATTACAGCAACTGAGTTCATGTTAGCAAAGCCTGGCAGTTCTGATGTGGAGCCTTTAGATTTACATAGTCTTTTGTCTTGGGCCTGACCTAACTCACAAGCATTTAGGGACAAAAAATGAGTTAAGTCTTGTCTCTGTAGAGACTAAATCCCTGGCCTCAGCTGAACGTTCCATTAACGGAGCCAGCAGTGGTCATGTCCTCCCTTGAGACTGTCACAAATTGCATTTATTAATGGCAGATTATGTAAATTTCAGCCAAGTCTTTATCAGCACTTGGGCCAGACACCCGATAAACGGCCGCAGTTCTGGCCTCTAATAAAATGGTACATGAAATGTGAACTCAGTTTTGCGGGTTAAACACTCGTTTTTTAAATGAGCTGCTTACTCTGCAGTGTAAGCCAGTGATGCTGCCCGAAGCCAGAGCAAGCCCTCTGAGATCCGTTCGATGAGGATCCGGCCCTTTCCTCCAGGCGGGTGAGTCCTGGCTCCTGCCCTGGCCCCGTCGTGCTTGCGGAGGAGGGAGGATGAGGCCGAGCGGTGCCGGGGAGGCTGCCCCAAGCTGGCGCGCGGGGCTGGCAGCGGGGCTGGGAGGGCGCCTGTCCCAGGCACCGTGTGCCGCCTGCTGCCCCTCCTGCGCTGGGGCTGCCTCGACCCCTCGTCTCGGAGATGAGTTCCCCTTCACACCTGGCTCGCAGCTTCCCCTCGGAAGGACGGGCTGTTTGCTGCCAGTGCACCAGGGAGGTTTCCCACACAGTTAGCGAGAGTAGCCTTTGTGCTGTTTTTCTAAATCTTTTTTTTAAGTCTTTGAAATACTTTTTGACATGTGTTCTTCATTACACAACAGTACAGCATAATTTTTAGGAAAGGAGACATTTTTCATTATTCCTTTCAAAGTTAACAAACATGTTTTAAAGTGCCCACACTAATGTGCAAGGGATTTGCTTTCAGGTGATTTGGCCGTACAGCTGAGTCCAGCTGCAATACCGTTTTCTGTTTCACGTCTACAATTAACCCCAGGTTTTTATCAGAGTTCCTGGGTTTGATTTTTATTAAAGAAATAATTTGACTTCATCTGGATAGGTGATATGAAACTCTGTCAGGAAATCTAAACCTTGCGGTACTTCACATACTGACTTCATCGGCAAAAGTGTTTTGTTTTGGTCTTTGTAGGGACAACATGGTCACGTTGGGGCCTTTCCCTTTCCTGTCAAAGGAATCACACGTAGTTTTCTTCTTTCACAACCAAGTGGAAAAATATGTAACCTTTGGAGGGTTTCTAAGCAAAAATAATATCTAAGAATATTAAGACGGAGGTATGCTGTACCAAAAAGCTGACCTCCATTTCCCCGTTCACACCACCTGGCATTTGCTGTATTTCTTTCTCTGAAACACCAGTTGAGTGTAGGACTTGGGCTGCTTTCAGAAGGCGAGGCTGCCGTGAAGGAGAAGTCGAGGGTGCAGTGGCTGTAAGGCTGAGAGCACACAGATACCTACCCTAGCATCTTCAGTTACTATCGCTACGGCACCAGCGTTTTCATGCCAGGGAGCGTTGCCCTTTTTCTTGGGTTTTGTGACTCGCACAGGAACCCCGAGTCTGTCGGGGGTTGGAGTCCCTGCGAAGTGGGGAGAGACTGTAGGCTGGGGGATGCTCTGAACTCAACAGGCCACACTTGTGTAAGAGAAGTTTGGGGGGGGGGTGTCTGTGTTTTGGTTTGGTGTGTGTTAGGAAGTCATGAAGCTTTGGGTAAAGAAGGAAGGGGAAGTATTTTCTACAGAAAAGACTTGCCATCTTGGCATTTCAGTTGTTTCTTGATACTTGCAGTTCTCTAGTTTCAGTTTTGTACGTGTAGGGGGAGATTTTCCAGTCTCTGGGACAATCAGGGAAGGCTTTAACTTTTAAAATATTAATTCCTCTTTTAGCAGTGCTAAAAGCCATTTAAGAGAAGAGAGAAGCTCTATTTATTGGCAATAATGTAGTTTCCTAAAGCACACAACCTCTTTTGATCGGGTAAGCTAACCTGGAGCTGTGCGTGCGAGTTGGTGGTAAGAAGGTAACACAGATTTGTCTGTACCCCTGACAACTTCTGCAAGTGTGATCCCAGAGCTTCAACCTGTATTGCTCTGTCTTTTTGGGAGAGAAGAATAAATCAAAGGAACTAGTAAGAATGGAAAGACCCAGGGTCATCCGTAAAAATATGTGGAGGGCAATCGGTAACTGAACAACACCCTGCAAGCTTCAAAAACCTGAATGGCAGTGTGTCTCTTACCTTTGCGCTACACATCTTCATTTTCGGTCAGACGCAGAGTCCAAGCCTTACTCCGTATTCTTGACCGGAGAGCAGAAATTTGTATCCGTAACGTGTTTGTTCTGTTTCTCATTCTGGATAGGTGAAGAGTTGGAGCTGGCGCAGGGTTGGAGCTGGGGCTGGGGACACGCTGCCAAAGGTTGATACTCTGTGATGCAGGAAAACAACCAAGGTGAGTTTTCTAAAAACTGCTGTGACAGGTGGAGTAGCTGGGTCATAGCTCAGTTACTGAAGATACCTGATGAATTTGACCCCTCTTGTCTTTCCCAGTGTAAAGCAAATGTGAGAAGAACAAAGAGAAAGCTCCTGTCCTCGCAGGGCAGAGAAGCTTTAGCTATAAAGAATGTGGCTTCCTCATCCCCATCTGAAGTATTTTGATAAAATGAGAGACAGTGTGACCATGGACCTTTATTTCCCCCCTCAGGGCTGCAGGTCTGTACTCTCAAAATATCTGAAGGCTGTCTCTCCGGCACAGGGCTCGGTGTTTGCTCCGTGGAGCAACACAGAGCTACCGCTGTCTGCTCACACTAAGTCACTTCCTGAGGGTTTCAGTGTTGTGACCCTCACACATCTGGCAGGAAATAAGAGCAGTTTACTCTCAATTCAGAGCACAGCAGGGTGCAGCTGGGATTAAGCAGGACAGTGACCAGAGCAGCAAGGCTACAAGCTAGCTCGGTTTGATGTGTTCTGGCAGTGGAACAGTATTGGCTCTATTTTATTGTGTTGGCCGCTGCAGTTTCAGTGGAAAGCTGGAGCTCTGGACTGGCTCACAACCACAGCGGCTCTGAGCGTGGGGGGCTCGGGGGGGCTCCAGTCTGGGCAGCCCCTCCAGGTGGACTCTGTTCTGGCTGGTCCCGAGCCGTCTGTGCGCAGGGAGGTACCTCCTCGCTCAGCCTGCGGGGGACTCCGGGGAGCTCTGTTGCCCTGTTTTCATTTTGCTAGGTGCCATTTGGGGTCCATCCAAGCACAGTGCTCATGCAGGATGAACGCCTCAGTGGCGAGCACGAGGGGCTGCCTGCAGCGAGAGCCCCGCCTCAGCCTGCGCTTCTCCACACGCTGCTTTTCCGCTCAGGTGTGAAACGGTTTGGTGCAGCCCACGCCGGGTGTGAGACAGACACGGGTGTTGGGTTAGGCCTCATGACTAAGGCTTTCATCTTGCTGTGGTTGCCTCCAGAGTTATGTCTGCAGGCTGTAGTGTGCCCTCACACTGCGTTTACAGCGCTTGCGCTCTTTCAAGGGATGCTGTGGCCTGTTTTATAACTGCTTCCAGAAATCCGTTAGATAGCATTGCAGTCCGAAGAAGTAACTCCGCAGTCCGAGCTGTTAACATATTTTTATTAAGGAGCTCATTCTGATGATGAGAACATGCATTTTGGGTTTTTTCCATACAAAAAAAGCTGCAGGGGGGTGTGCCCTGTTATGGTAGCGGGGGCGGTGGGGGTGGAGGGGGCAGTGGGGTTCTGTGGGGGTCATTCTCTGTCATGGCAGGTGGGAGTGGAGGGGGTGGAGGGGGCACTGGGATGCTGTGGGGGTCATTCTCTCTCACGGTGGGTGAGGCTGGCCTGGGCGAGCGTGACGGTGCTGAGAACCGTGGAGGGGGCGGGCGCAGGGGCGCTGGGGGCCGTGGTGGGGGGGGGCGCTTTGGCCGTCCCGGTTTCTGCTGCAGATGCTGGCGTTGGGCCCGGCTCTTGGGGTTGCAAGGGTAGCTGGTCTGTTTCCGCTGGTGCGAGGGGCGGCTGCTGGTGTCCATCCGCTGTCCGGACGCTGCCGAGGGGCGACTGTGAAGAGAGGAGGCTGCTGAGGCTCTCGGCTGCAGGTGGCACACGGGACTCTCCTCCCCAGCGCGGCCCCCGAGCAGCCATCAAGGAGCAGTGTTGGGGGGGAATCATCAACTCACCTTTCCCTCCTGCACCAGCACTTCACCCCGATACAGCACAGCAGCAGCGCAAGTGGCACAGAAATCACCAGGGACACTGTGACTATCATGCAGTGCTTCCGCACGTCCTGGGGGCATACAAAGCCGCTGCTCTGGACAGGGGAATCGCTTGGTGCACTCTCGGGGACGGCACCTGTGGAGCAGTTGGGGCCCTTAGTCTGTTTGGCGCAGCAGCAGTAAGCTTGCAGCACCCTCCCACCCTTCGGGACAGGTTGTCCCTCCAAACAAAACTCCGGTGGCCAGGGGGAGAGCACGGCGGGGAGCGCAGCTGCCTGGCCAGTCGCTGCTTCGAGAGCCCCCCGCCCCCCAACTCTCCCTGCCCCCGGGCCAGCTCCCACCCCTGAAGGGACGGAGTCAGGCCTTGAGCCTTGCTCTCCCCTTCGGCCTTTTCCACAGCAAGGGCACCGCCCGCAGCCGCTCCCAGGATTCGGGACGCGCCTGCCCCTTAGGGACCCCAGCAGGAATGCTCAGTACCTGAGTCTCGTTCAAAAAATTCATACACCCTGGCATGGTGTTCTGGTCTGGGCCTGGAGAGCACTGCCAAAAAGCAGAGACGACAGGTGAAGCGTCCGCGTGGCTGAGGCACAGAGGCTGCAGGGGGCCGGGGAGGTTCCCTCGAAGCCCCTGCCCAGTCTGGAGTCAGGGCATTGCTCTGGACCTCCCACTGACTTACCTCTGGGCCTGGTCTCAGGCCTCAGGACAGGAGCGTCCCCAGATGTCCGGAAAGCGTCGACAGCAAGAGGATCTGAAGGGAAATTGCACCTAATAAGCTCTTGCCACCTTGTCAGTGTTTACTCTTTCAAGGAAAGGGACATTGAGGACTTACCTCCAGGAAGCCCCAAGGGCTCCAAACCAAAATCCAGCCGAGAAGGTGGATAACCACTGCCCGCAGCCCCATCTAGAAGCAAGCCGAGATGAGAATCATTGCCAGTGCGTGCTGGGATCCACTTCTGCCTTAGGGAACTGCATGCAGGGGAAGGGGCTCAGGTAACCACATGGGGGCCAGACAAGGGTGGAGGCTGTCAAGGTCACAGAAGGGTAACACTCCTCAAGGAGCAGATGGACCAGGGTACGGCTCCTAGGGGCTTTCTTACTGGGAGAGCTCTGGCACACAAAGGCCTCGCTGAAGCACCGGAGGGAAAAAGCCACCATCCACGCTTCTCAGGGAGAAGAGCCCGCTGGCCCGTGAAAGGCTGTGCCAGCGTCCGCTCGCTTACCTGCTTGCCGCGCTCGCCACGGAGCAGCCTGGCCAGCCCTGGCATGCAGGGCCACCAGGAGGAGGAGGAGGTGGCAGGCGAGGGCCATGTCTCCCTGCACTTGCACCATACTGCTGCCGCTGCAGTGAGGGCCGGGGACTGAGCGGTCAGTAACTACACCCAGAGTGTCACCGCGGCGTCTCTGTGACCTCACAGCCCCATTGTGACGTCACAGCTGGGCCGAGGCTGCGTGGGGATGGCTCTCAGGTTGCTCGGGGAGAGCTGCTGGAGCACGGCTGGGGGAGCTGCCCCCAGGGAGGGGAGCTCATCCTCTCGGGCAGCCTCGGCCTCTGTCCTGTTTTCTGGACACTGTCATAGGGGCAGCGGGGAGCTCTCAGTCCCCCAGAACATCAGGGAAGCACAGCCAAGGGATTTCTGACGACCTCGGGTGCTGCTGCCAACAGCTCATGAGGCTGTTGAGTGATGGAGTGATTTCAGCCTTGGGACAAGTGCAAGATCCCCTCCTGTAGGCAGCTTCCAGGCTGGGGCCTAGTTGGGCACCTTGGGGGACCCCAGGGCTAAGGAGTCACTTTCATTTTAGGGGAAAGAGGAAGGCTTTCCTTTTCCTTTTCTTCTTCATGTGTAATTTAGGGGAATACTTTCAAGGTCCTGACAGAGAAAAGTCAATCTACAGGAAAGAAGTATTCTCTTAAATTACTTGACATGCCAAAGGGAAGGGCAAGAGAGCACACGTCGGGTGTGTGCTGCCTGACCAGCAGGCCTCCAGATGATCAGAGGATGGAACAGCTTTCATATGAAGAAAGGCTGAGAGTGGGCGTTGCTCAGCCTGGAGAAGAGAATGTTCGGGGAGACCTGACTGCAGCCTTTCAGTACATGAGGGGGCTTACAAGAAAGATGAGAAAAGAGTTTTTAGTGGGGCCTGTTGCAGTAGGACAAGGGGTAATGGTTTTAAACAAAAAGAGGGTAGATTGAGACCAGACTTAAGGAAGACATTTTTTTTTTGGTGAAACACTGGAAGAGGTTGTCCAGAGCAGTGGAAGATGCCCCATCCCTGGAAACGATCAAGGCCAGGTTGGAGGTGGCTCTGAGCAACATGCATGCATATACTACATGTTTATAATATTATGTGTGCAATATTATGTTCACATTTTCATTAAATATTAAAATTTGAGAAAATGCTGCGAAAGTGGGTAAATTTCAAAGGCATTAGTAAAGAATTATACCACTGTTTTCCTGGCTTAGTTATGATTCAAGAACATTATATGTTTGGTTTTTTTTTTTTTTTCTAATACCTTGCCCAAACAATCCGTGTGTCCATGCAACAGTTCCTTTTTCCCCAAGCCTTTGCTTTATGCTTCCCCCTGTAATAGCAGCTCGGGGAACCCTTTTGGTCCAAGAACCAGACAGGGATGGCTGTCCCTTCCGGGCATGGCTGGGGTGGCTTGGCCACAGGTCCCTCTTGTCCTGTGCCATAGCTCCTCTGTGGCACAAGGCCTGTGGTCACTGTCCCTGCAGAACCCTTGGGACTAGCAGGAGCCCAGCTGGAGCCCTTGTTTGGGGGCGAGTGGTGTGGCCTGGAGCAATGGCATGTTTCTCTGCAATTTACCTTCTCTGTGTGGTGTGTTGCCCCCTTTGCATCTGCCTTTGCACTGAGTTTTCGTTTTAAAGCCCCCTCTGCCATGAAGGTGTGAAGCACGGCTGGGTCTGACCCTGCACGCAAGGTCTGGAAGGAAACCTGCCCGGGGTGCAGTAGTCGCCACCATTGTGTTTCCCTGTCTTTTTAGTTGTCTTCCTTCCAACATCTAAAAGCATAAGCAGGGGCTGGGGTTGGACAGCGTGATGAAGGGAACCACTTGTGCAGGGATGGGCCCTCTCCGCACTTTCTGCTTTAACAAGACCAGTAATTTCAAGTGTGTGTGCACTAAGCACTGCGTGTGGTATGAATTTGTGAGCAAAGGCTGCGAGGAAAAGCAAAGCCTGCCCCAGCGACTCGGAGGAGCACACTGAGAGTATTTGTGTGCAAACTCTGAAATAAACAGTAGCCAAAAGTGCCAAATCTCCAGGCACTGGACTGCCAGATGTGGCCTGGCTGTTTCCAAAGGAGCTGATTTCAGTGGATGCAGCATTAGTCCTGCATCAAGTGCTTTGAGCAGTCCCACTTGAGGAACTTGAGCTCAGCTCAGGAGGGCTGAGCTAGCCTGCCAGCCTAGGCATGTAGGCAGCAGCTGAATTGTGAGCATCCAGACTTGCCCGACCCAGGAGCACACCTCTGGGCTCAGTGCTG